AACCCCTGATAAAATGATCTCCATTTGGACCAAACCTGGTAATTCATTTCCATAATCCCAGCACCTCGGTGTCTGAGACCAGAAGATGTCAGGTTTGAGGCTGGCCTGAGCTATGTAAGTGTGACTCTGCTTCACAGTAAAAACAAAACAAAATAAAATAAGAACGATTTCTCTTTTATAGATGAGTGTCAGCTCAGATATGTAGGCTAAGAGGGTGAAGGTGACATATACACATGATTTGGGGATTGCTGTCCAGACACTGTGGCCCTATCCCTGTTGTCTTCATTCCCACCTAACTCTGGGGATTGGGGCTGGGTTGTACTTTCCAAGTCCTGGTGTCTGGCATTAGGCTCTCGTGCAGTATTGTTTCAGGAAAGAAGGAAGAGAGGAAGGAAGAAAGAAGAGGGAGGGGAAGAAGGAAGAAGGGAAGGAAGATGGAAGAAGTCTTCACTCTGGCTCCAGAAATCTGATGATAACTTGATACGTCTTTGTTATTCCAGGCACATGGCACAGAAGGATGATGGGAATTATACTAATATTATATTCACATTACAATTGAGATAATTTCCAAGCACTCTGAGAAGCATTCATGTTGTATTTATCTGTTTAACTACTGAAATGTTTCTGGGATAGGCTAGGTATCATACATAAAGTCTTTTGCCAAGTAATGTCTAGGGCTCAAATATCTGAATGCTTTGATCACGTGAAAAGAAGGGAAAGAGCTATAAAGACAGAAACCATCAGCAGGTGGCAGGAGGAATGAAAATACTTTATCAAAAACATCCTATCAGGCCTCAGTGATTTGGAAGCAACAAAAAAGGAGAAGTATTTTTTTTTGCCACACAGGATGCTTACATAGGAGCTACTTGTCAGCAGCTAGAAGAAAATACTGTACTGCCCTGACCTACTTCTGCTTCTCTGCAGTTTCTCTTCCTGGGTCTCTTTTCTTAGTGAGAAACTTAAAAACACAACTCATACCTGTAATCCTGTAATCCTACTCAGGAGGCTGAGAGCTGAGCATCATGGTTTGAAGTCAGCCCAGGCAGGAAAGTTTGTGAGGCTCTTATCTCCAATTAACCACCAGAAAACCAGAAGTAGAGGCATGCCTCAAAGTGGTAGAATGCTAGCCTTGAGCAAAAGAAGTCAGGGACAGTGCCCAGATCCTGAGTTTAAGCCCTACAACCAAGGATAACAAGAACAACAGAACCTCCACCCCCACCCCCCAAAAAAAACCCCAGAAAAAACCACCAACAATAAACTCTTAATCTTATTTTTCTTATCTACCTTCTTCTGATCCTTAAAATGTGACACAGTTAATTAAAAATAGAGAGTAATGTTTCAATTACTGATACATAGTTTTTTTTTTTTTTTCCCTTTTTGAGACAGGGACTTTGTACAGTCCAGGGTAACCTAGAACTCTGTCCTTTTCCTCAGCTTCCCAGAGCTGAGATTACAGTCTAAGCCATTGAACCAGACTATAAAATAGAAATATAAAAAAAAGTAGTAGGGTTTTTTTTCTAGATAGTTGAATTATTTTTTTAATTGTGAAAATACTGTACAGAGGGGTCACAATTACATGAGCAAGGTAATGAGTACATTTCTTATCAAGCATTGTTGCCTCCTCCTTTGTTTCCCCTTCCCATCCCTTCCCATCTCCCCCCACTCCCCACAGTCCCCCTTTCCCCCCTGCACCAAAGTTGTAAAGTTCATTTTTTGACATAACGTCTTGTATATCTTCCTTCTAGACCATTTCTTTTTATTTCCAAATAACTCCAGAACAGATATTATTTCAGAAAACAATATCAAAACTAGGCAATCATATAAATAAGTTTGTTTAATCTGTATTTGCTTTCAATTTCTGCAAAAAATTATAGCTCACGTTGAGTCGACAGCAGAAATACATCAAACAGTAGTTAGCAACAACTGAATATTTTCTTTTGCAGATTACCTTACTAGAGCTTTCTCATATTGACTGCAGAGAACATACATGCTCCTCATATATTTAAATACTGTAAAAGTGGTTAAATCACACAGAACCCATTATTTTTTTGCCTTCTTAGTAAAGGAAAAGTTGTTTTTTTTTAACCTAAGTCGCTTTTCAGACTTCTATTGCGTTTCTCCTTAAGGAAAATAAACAGTGAAATCTAATGACAGGATAAATTCATAGAACTAACGCATTCTGTGAAATAAAATATTCACAGAAACTGGAAACTCAGAAACCTAATAAAGCTAAAAACATTTAAGATCAGGGACCATACATGAAAGATGGTTGCAGGTTTTAGGACTGATTGAAATACTGCTGCTGCTGGTGATGACACACCTGTGACTGTATTCATCATCGCAGGAAGCTCACTTCCCCCAGTCAATGGGATGAAACAGAGCCTGTTTAGTTATATTTCTCCCGAATCATGATTCCAGGAAAGAGGGAGGCAGCCCTGGGTACCGAGGCTGGACCTTGGGTGGTAGGACAACCAGGTGTGGAGGAGCGTATGCATGCTTCCTCTGGGGGTACAATCAGTTTTCTGGTACCACAGCCTCAGTGTGTGTGCAGGTGTGCTGGCCCGCTTCTACATAAGGAATACTTGCCTCATTTATCTTCGGCAGATTTTGGCCTAAGGATCAAAGTATCTCTGATTTTCTTTTTCTCTCTTCAAAACACTTAAATCATAATTTATCATATCATTTTCAATTATTAATGTATTATTCCCAGTCCATTCTAGGTTTATTATTTTGCCAATATAGATACAGTTCTGGTACGTGAAGAATTGCTATGAAACCATGGTTACTTTATGATCACTGAGGTCTGCAGTGTGGACCCGAATGGATTATATGTTGTACATTGTTCTAATTTAGGGTCACCAGACTTCAAAGAAAGTTAATAGAGAGAATGTCTGCATAGAGGCAGGAAGTATGTTTAGCTCTTCAGGTTTATTTTCATGCAGTAGAAAAGTATCGATTTTACATACTGCCTTTTTAACAAAGTAACATTTGTGTCAGTGGTTTCAAAATCAATTTCCCTTTTCCTCATTTGAAATATATGAGGCAACAGTTTTTCTAGTATTTAACCACCCACTGATATTTATTCTAAAATAGGACATCTTTCTTAAAACTTAAACAGCTCCAAGACCTTAGGCATTTTGCTTTCATCATGAAGCCCAGGATATATTTAGATCATCTAATATAGGCCAGGCAATGCTCAGATAAAGTACAATCCTTATCTTTGGGCTAATAGTGTCATGGGACATTTCAGAGACATTTAAATGACCCTAAATTGACTACGTCTCTTACCTGAGAGAGAGGGGGAGATGCATGCGCGTGTGCATGCACGCGCGTGCGCACACACACACACACACACACACACACAGTCGAAATACCAAGTCACTGGATCATAAAAACAAAAACAATCCTCTCATATCTGAGAGGGTTGTATACTGTCCTCCCAGTATCCAGGAATCAAATGATTCAAATTTGAAGTCTTCTGCTTCCTTTCATTATTCTATCTCTCCTTCTCTCCTTCTCTCCCTCCCTGCCTCCTCCCTCTCTCCACATGTTTATGGAGCCACATTTGATAACATATCTAAAGCAAGTCACAAACAGACCAGACTTGCATTTGGCAGTACATCCATTGCTCCAGTAAGAAACTCATCTAAGATTCATAAACCTTTTGGAATTCTCCTCTTTCCAGTTGCCACTTAACCTTAAGATTCACAGGAGGTATCACATAGGCATGGAGTGAGGGACAAGAAGTGGTAAGGTTGGGACTCTTGAGTGCTAAGGACATTCACAGAGACTCCTGGAAGAGGTCAAGGCAGGATCTGGACTATACTGACAACATTTCTTGTTGAGACACACTTAGCTCACATCACGGCCTGCTAATGGACTTCATTAAAGAAGTATTGGTAGTTGATCACAGCCTGAAAGACAACTTGATTCATTCTGTAGGAGTGAGGAATGCCAAAGATAGTTTAGGTTGATTTGATTATTGAAGAAGTAGACAATCAAACTCACTCACCGGTTAACTTACAAAAGATGACTTGAGGCTCGTAACTGCTGCAGCTCTTCTTGCTCAGTCAATCGCAATCTCCCTAAGGTGCCCAGGGGAAGGCAGCGTCACCTGAGCACGCTGATCCTCTTGTGGTTGAGGTGCCTGGGCTTCTCACAACTCTGAGACCTACGGGGGTGAGTCCTCTAGTTCTCTCCTCGTTCTGTGAGTTACACCCATTATGACACTGAGTGATGACTAAGCTTCTCCTCAGTGGATGAAGGAAGCAAAGCAGCTGGAGGTCACAGGTTTCCAAAGGAATCATCGCTATTTTGAGAAATTAAACTTAGCTAGCTGCAGAAGGAACTTCAATATGACCAGAGCACTCTTGTACCTGTGATTACAATCTTTTTACTACATAGAACAGATGAAGTAATATGACAGAGAAACATTTCATAAACTGCCTGGTACATCAGGATAATATTTCAATTTGCAAACTAGAATTATTGTTAACCATCTACTTTCATGTAATATTTTTCTTTTTTCTTTTTTTGGTGTCATTCCTAGGGCTTGAACTGGAGGCCTGGATACTATCCTTGAGCTTTTTCATTCAAGCTTAGTGTTCAACCTCTCAAGCCACACCTCTACTTCTGGCTTTTTTGGTGCTTAATTGCAGGTAAGAGTCTCACGGGCTTTCCTTCCTGGGCTGGCTTCAAACCATGATCCTCAGCTTCCCGAGTAACAAGGAATACAACCATGAGCCTCCAGTGTCTGGAACGTGTAATAACGTGTAACAATGTTTTCTTAGTAAGTTAACTATGAATTAAGATTATTGTTCATGACTTAGCATTTTCTTCCTGTTACCATGATTTTGACTATTTAGTGTCCTTTCCTGCTAAGAGAATAAGTAGGAAAACTCAGTCTATGATGATTCTAACATATTTTTTAAAAGACAGTCAAGCAAGAAGATCAAAAGAATGTAATGAAACTAGGTTTTGGTATTATTCTTGGTTCCTAATTGTGACAGGTACTTCCTCAAGTGGTCTTTGGTGCTGAGAAGAGGAAAGGTTGCTCCTGCAGGGGGTGAAAGACTGGAGCTTTTCTGAAGCTTTTCCCCAGTGGGCCTGTTTCTCCTTGGGACTACAATAGGAGGTGCTGAGGTTGCAGTTGATGGGGGGACAGGATGGTGCACGCCTCTCCTTCCAAAGGCTAGAGGAACAGATACCTAAACATACTCACAGTGTAGTTTTAGCCCAACAACGAACTCACTTGACTGACTAGCATGCTTTTAGTTATGTAGGTTTAAAAAAAGGTAATTTTTTCTTTTCTTTCTCATTGTCTTTTCTCCCTTCTTCATCTCCCTTTCATGTGAAAGGAATGGAAGAATTACAATTCCATGCAAGGCTGCTCTCTTCATTTCTCTGACCATGGGAATGCAGGAGCATTTAGGACTGCAAGAAATATAGCTCCAGAGACTGACACCTGCACAGCAATAAATGAGCAGACTCAAAGCCACCATGTGACTCATACCAAGTCTCAGTGAACATATCTGGAAGTTCATGCTGCTGCATCCTTTAAAAAAAGTCTGTTTTCCTACCCCTGCCTGTTCCAAGACTGGATAATTATATATATATATATATATATATTACATAATATATATAAAATATTTTTCTTTTTTCCCCTGAAGATAGCAGTAAGTGTAGGTTTTCATATTGCCTGGAAACACCAGTAAAACCTCACTTCCTTTGCTCCAAAGTCTTGTTCTCATTATTTGTGACATGGCATTGAGTTCAGAGGACTGAATTTCTGGTCTCACAGCCTGCCACGCCTCCCCATGCTGAAGTCACACAGAGAAAACTCCACCAATGTTTTCATTTCCATTTCCTGTACACCTATTTATTCCATCTTCAGATTTTCCTGGCTCTGTGTTCCTTCTTTGGAAAATGTAGTTCATTACAGTTTCACTGTAGTGAAAGGAATGTCCAGTTAGATGGGGGCTAGACAATGTGCTCTCACTTTAAATTAAATGGCTGGGGAACATTGGTAAAGAAGTGGAAAGGCTTGGAAAAAGTCATATTAAGTGAAGTAAGCCAGACCCAAAGAAACCTATGGTTTCCCTCATTTGTAGTAATTAGAATATGCCTATAAATCTACAAGTAAACACAATGGATGGTAAAAGACAAAAAATTACACTGAGACATGACAAATTACAGGGCTCTAAACATTCACACAGTGAGATCAAAGGAACATTTTCTTAGGAGAGGATTACAAGAGCTCAATAGCTATGTGCACAAAATGAAGTGTATCAAAATGAACTCCAAGAAATGGAGACAAGGGTTTTTTAAATTTTACCTTTTGTGTTCCCCATCCCCTTTGTTGTTGTACTTTTTTGTCTTGTAAGTTTATCTGTTTTGAGGAGGTAAGGAGGTGAACTAATGTGGCAGTGATACTAGACAAGAGGCTAAAAATGAACTATACAATTTGTGGAGGAAGAAAGTTGGGAGGGGGAAAACCGGGAGAAAACAAGGGAAGAGGTGACTGTTAAAAAAGAAACGTATTCATTACATGACTTACATAACTATAAGCTCTTTGTACATCATTTTTACAATAAAAAGAAATAAATGGGGGGAAAGTCTCCTTTGTCTTTAAAAAAATGAAAAAAAGCCCAAGAATGAAATTTACTCAGGTAAACTTTGATAAGCCCAAAGTGGGTCAGACATACTTCTTTAAGAATTCACAGGTCAAATATAAAACTTTAAAGAACACATGCCCTTAAATCCACCTAAAGAGAGTTTATCAAATAATTAACACTGCCCCTTCCCTGTGAGCAGGTTTTTGCAACTGGAAGGTGAAGAGAATTCAGGTACCTGGGATCCTGGAGTACATAAGGGAATAGGGTAATAAAAAACTTACAAACAGAAAGTTCTACTTCCTTAATAACCTTGCCTCATAAAACTTTCAAAACTTTCCAAGCTAGGCATTTTAAAACAAAGCAGATGTTTAGAATAATTATCAGAATTCTTGCTATTGCGCTGACAAACCCAGCTGAAGAGTTGTTCCAGTCTCATGACACTAGGGTTGGCACACTCCCCTTCTTATTGTCAGCTGGTCCACTTAGGCATTAGTTAATGGAATCTTCTCCTAGTGGTACCTCACCCAATGTAATCATGTCCACATAAAAATTCACATCTTAGCTGGGTGCTGGTAGCTCATGTCTATAATCCTAACTACTCAGGAGGATGAGATTTGAAGATGGTGGTTCAAAGCCAGACTGGGTTGAAAAGTCACTTTGAGACTATTATCTCTAATTAACCACTAGAAAACTGGAAGGGACACTGTGGTTCAAAGTGGTAGAGTACCAGCCTTGAGCAAAAGAGCTCAGGGACAGCACCTAGACCCTGAGTTCAAGCCCCATGATGACACAAAAGAAATCATATATTAATTCTTAGGTTGTCCTTCAGTCCACCCTTTTTTTTAATTGTGAAAATACCATACAGAGGGGTTACAATTACATGAGGAAGGTAACGAGTACATTTCTTATCAAGCATTGTTGCCTCCTCCTTTGTTTCCCCTCTCATCCCTTCCCATCTCCCCCTCCTCCCGCCCCCAACAAGTTCACCTCTTTAATATGTAACCTTCGAACTTTCCCTCCATTGGACTTCTTGCCACTAATGTCAATCTATATATCACCAAATTACCATTTAATTTTTTCACCAAGTTCTTATGTAAAACAGAGGGTTGCACTGTGGATTTTACTCAAATATGTATTACAGTTGATAACATGGGCTAAAATTTCATAGGAGCAAGAGTAGATACTGCTGCAGACAAACTCTAAAGACATGGCTGTTATTTTTCTTCTAAAGTTGTGTGTCCTTCATATTCCTGCCCAAGGGCACCTTCTCCATCCATCCTTTACTTTCTTTTATTTGTGTGTGTGTGTGTGTGTGTGTGTGTGTGTGTGTGTGTGTGTTGTTTTGGGTTCAAGACTGAGACTGGAACTTGGTACCTCACACTTTTACTCTTTGACTAGTTCTCTATCAACTGTGCCATGTCTTCAACCCTCAATCCATCCTTTTCGAACACCAAAGCACAAAGACAATGTTCAAGTCCTCGAGTGTCCCTAAAAATGCACATCAGACATCTTGTACCTGAACTATGCCAGAGATCTGTGGTCCAAATCACAAAGGATCCTGTGGAGAAAAGCACTTACCTACAGCAACTGCTGGAGTATATCTGCTGTCACTTTCTTAAGGTTGTCTGTGGCAAAGCTGGCTACAGATGTGACTGTTGCCCTTCTCCGTCCCAGCAGTGTAATGTGATAACATTCCCCACAGCCACTTAGATTTCCTGAGTAACTTTGAATTGGTATTATGACCTCAGGTTTTCAAAAGTATATTGTATTTTCTTCCACCTCCCTTTGTCAACAGACAAACTATAAAGGCAACCTACCCTGAGATCTCACTTTTTACACCACTTTTGTTGTGTGGGCGTAGGAGGAGCTAGGCTTGACTCAAACCAGGAACTCTTTTATCATCTTGGCTTTTCATGACCTTCCTGACTGTAAGCTGAGGCTGGGCTGATCTTTTCTTTCTTTGCACTTTTTGGATTTTCGGTACACTAGCAGCTGGGGATTGAGTCATGGGAATGTTCCGTAAAGTCCTTCAGAAAAGACTTTTTCTTATTTACAGAGCATACTTCCTTTAAGTTTACTCACAGGGTCCTGGATTGAAAAATGGGGTGAGGAGTATTACAGGGGATCATTGTTCTGGGAAGAAAGACGGAACAAGAAAGACAGGTGGTAGGGAGTGGAGGCTATGGATGACCAGGAACAATGGGGATGCCTGGCGACAGGGAGGCTTACCAGAAAGAAAGGTGGGGGCTGAGTCAGAAAATTGACCCTCACAGCGGGAGGGAGGTAGTAACCTTTTAATGTGGTCACATTTAAGAAATCTCCCTGAAAGCAAGCTATCACACCCCCCTGGCCGGTCCTTAAAGAAGGTCATAAGATCCTCATTTCAGAGCCACCCCCATCCTGTGAGGAAAGAGGTGTCCTTAACCTTGAAGACCGGGGATCCAGATGAATCTAATCAAGACAGGCTTGCTAAATTCCCTCACTGGGTCACCATATGCTCACATCTCCTTTGTCGATCACTCAACCGCACCACCACCTACTTCTTCTCTGTTTCTTGGGGTCTACATTCCGGACACTTCCCATGTCATGTAAAACTTACATTAAGTAATTTGTATGCTTTTCATTGCAATGGACCTAGCAATGAGTACGGAAAGACATATTTCCTTCCTTACATTTCATAGCCTGGCACTGTCAACATTGCTCATGAAAGCTACCAAAAAAGCGAGGACATCTGTTTGTAACACCCTCTTGATGGGATGTAGGCACAAAATATGCCCACAGAATTGTTGATCTGTCCTGATGCAGGCATTTGTTGGGCAAATGTCCCACACGAATACCTTGTGCTGTACCTTTATCATGTACTGGAAGTTCTTCATGACTGGTGGTTTCTCAATGTGGGAGGCCTATTTTTCAAGCTTCTCTCTGAATAAAGAGCCTATATTGCAGTCTGAATCAGCCCTGCAATACTGATTTCCACTCAATTCTACCTGCGTACAACCTTTAATGACTCCTTTTAGAATGTTGATAATTATTATTATTTTTAGTATTGGGGATTGAATTCAAGGGCTTGTACTTGATAAATAAGTATTTTACCACTTGAGCCACACTTAGTCATTTTGCTTTTAGTTTGTTTTTCAGATGAGGTCTGATGCTTTTGCCTGGCTGGCATCAGACCATGACCCTCCTAAGAAACTGGAATCCCAAGGTATATGTCACCATGTGTATATTTTGTGTGCATCTGCGATAGGTCAATAAATTAGGCCATATTAACTAGTTTTGCTAAGAAGTTGGTCCTTTCTATCTTTGTCTCTTTAGTAGCTGAGATTACAGGTGTGCACTACCACACCTAACCTATAAATTACTCTTTATTTAACAGGCCAGAGTCATTTTAATAACATTTATTTACTAGGTACTACTCTGCATGCATTTTCTTATTTAAAGAGCCAATCACATTCAATTGCTCCTGTTCTAATTTGTATTTGAGAAAAGTAAGACTCAGAAGGGCTAAATCCTTATCTAATTATTTAAGTCTGTTTTACTTAAGGAAATTGTTATACTCTTGATCACTGTTACATTTAAAAGTGGAACTAGAGATCATCATGCTTAGTAAAATAATCCAGACTGAGAAAGTTTCACATGTTCTTTCTCAAATGCAGAATCTAGCTCTTAAAAATGAGTGACAGGAATGTAAAGCAGGTTCTGTTTGTGGATGGGTGGCACAGGGGAAATGGCAGAAAGAGAGGGTATCAGGGGGGTGAATATGGTCAAAGTGTTTTATATATGTGTGGAAACAGAACAATGAAATCTGCTCAAATTATTCCAAGAAAAGGGTAGAGTGGTGGAAGGGATGGATGGTTTTAATTGATGTACATTTGTATGCATGTAAGTAAGCATCACAACAAAATTCTTTTGTACAATTGATACATGGATAATAAAAATACATGTATTCTTAACTCTGAGGTATTTCTTAAAAGTTGGTTATAAAAAAACTCAAACATTTTTTCCCCTGGTACTGGGGCTTGAATTCAGGGCCTTTGCTCAAGGCTGTCCTTATAATTTGAGCTACACCTCTTCTTCTGGTTCCTTACTGTTTAATTGGAGGTAAGCGTTTCACATACTTTTCTGTTCAGGTTGGTTTGGAACCACGATTCCAGATCTCAGCCTCTTGAGTAGCTATGAGTATAGGCATGAGTAACTGGACCTTAGCTCAAACACTTCCTTCAATAAATGAACAT